GATTTGCATTTCTCTAATTAATAGTGATTTAGAGCATTTTTTTCATATGACTATAGATGGCTTCATCTGAGAACTGCCTGTTCATACACCATGACCATTTATCAACTGGGGAATGACTTGTAGTCTTATAAAGATTGATAAACAAAATTATAAAGACAATTTTGGAATACCTATGAATGCTTACCAATGAACAAACAAGCACAGTTTGAAATGGCCTACGCGGAAGAATGTTATCTACTTCTCAACAGAGATGTGATGGACTCAATTTAAATATGCATAATTTAACACATATTTTAGACATGCATAATGGAAGAATTTGCTTTAACTATGCATACTTGGCACAGCATTTTCTTCCCTCTAAATGGGAGAGATTAAGAGAGAAAATAAATATAAGCTAATTGAGAAATTTAAGTGAAAAAGTTAATCAGAGTTAACATTAGATATTTGTTATTCAGCAGGAAGCCTCAATTGATATTAGGTAACATAAATTTGGCAGTAAACCAGTCATTATGGTCACATGACTTTATCACAGCTCAACTTCAGTAGGAATGGTGAAGGCAGATGTTATATGTTAGCCAGAGTTATTATCTGGCAAGATGTGACTGGTAACAGGAAAAGTGGCCAAAGACTTCTAGGGTAGATATGGCTTATATTTGAATTAGTCAACTCTTGGTCACTGGCTAAGACTATGAAAGAAGAAGGAAAAGTGAGAGAAATAATCATAGAGAAAGAGAACAGAGAAGGGATGAGGGACTGGTGGTCCTTACAAGGAAAAAAAATTATGTATAAGAAGAGATTTAAACATAAATGACTATGGTCAGAGAAAGGAATTTCAGAATTCTGGATCATGCATTTGGAACAATTAGGAATGGTGGTCAGATCAAGGGCACTGCAGTGCGTGCCAGAGATGGAGTGAATACGTGAGCCATAAAAGTTTAAGAGGTTGATAAACTGGATAAAAATTTATTTAGAAATATATACATACATATGTGTGTATAAAAGTATATTTATGTATATACATGTAAACACTTATTGAATTTCCCATGGATAAGAACAAGAGAGTTGTGTTGAGATGAAAACATTTACTCAGGTAACAAAATTATTCAGAAAGTAGGGAAAATGACCTGGAGGTTAGTAGACGAGGAATAGACCTCAAGAGAAGAGCTGTCCATGAGTATCTGGTGGCAAAATGACAGTCTGGCAGTGAAAGTGAGAAACAGGGAGTATGCCTAGTCTTTTTACTGGAATGGTACCAATAGAATTGATGGTCTTTTCAGAGAAATAACATCTAGTATTTGGAAAAGTTGTTCAGGGATGTATTGTTTTATAAAGAGAGAGATTTTTAAGGGTGGAAGAATAAGTAATTGTGAAGTAAAAGAATCTAGGATAAAGGGGACTTTGTTAACAAAGGAGCAGAAATTATTGAAGGTGGATTTAAATAAGAGGATATGAACTAGGAAGTGGTGGGCATAACATAGGTAGGGTAAGGAGACATAATACAGTGATAGGATTTTTGCCTCAGGAGACTATAATTCTGAATCATGGAAATAAAAAGAGTCAAATATGAAAATGTTTCAGTCACTACATGGAGAACAACCAGTTGATAAGTGCCTTTTTCTGTAGGGTCCTGGATAACTAAGCATAGAGTCAATTCCAACCATTTTTCTTTTCTTGTAACGTATAGAGTTTCATGATGTTTTAGCTGAAAAACATAATAGGATGTTTTAGTTATGTTCTAAGATTTGACATGGTGGAAGAATATGGTGCTAATTACAGCCATGGGAGTTGAGTGAGCTAGCTCTATTGCCCCCCCCAAACAAAATCTCCTCTACACATCATTAGCTCCAGATGTCCTAAAAGCTACCCCTCAAACCCCGTATACCTTCATACACTGAGGCTTTATATTTGTGATGTGTAAGGACTCCTTTCCCATCAGGTAATCTGCCCTGAGTGTCTAGATACTTAAGTAAGGCCCTCCATCACATTGAGTTTGCTTTGAGGTAGCAACCAAGGCCAAAATCTGAGTATAAAAACACCAAGCATATATGTTGCACAAGAAACTGAAGCCTGAGAAAGATGTGACAACCGTTTAGGACTGACCAGCTCTTCACTTCCATACGTATATGTCTATGACTAGTGTTTAATTCAAATAAGCAATACATTGTTCAGCTACTTCAACTCTTTTAGAACTTGTCCAATAGGACTTCTGATGGACTCCTAAGAAAGAGTATCCACATTCACGAAATTATGTTTCAAGTATTGAAAAAGTGCATACAATCATGAACTGTGCATACGTAAGCAGTGTGTTTGGCTTAAATGTGGATTCTATTATTCTAAAACATTTTCATTATTATTTCAAATAAGGTTATCAAAAATAAATTTCTATTAATTTTTTAGCATTACATTACCTTAGGAATAAAACTCATGCCTCTGGGGATAATAATGTATCTTACATTATTTGCATTTAAATGAGGTTTCTTGGATCTTGGAGTGATTATATTTGCCCTATAAATTACTTAGTTGCTATAAATTATCTAGATTGTTAAGCAAATTTTCTATGATGATTGACTATAGAAGACTAATTGTACCTGATAAATGTTGTTGGAAATATAAAAATGAAAAGATCTTCCATTTTAGCAGTTATTCCAGGATGATGTTAGCCTACTTGAAAAAAAACAAAAAACAAAAAACAAAAAACCCTGTGCAGGCATCTTGAGAAATAACAAGTGGCAACATTTTTATTGCCTTTTCCTAATCAAAGAATTATAAAATCTGTAAGTGGGGAGGAAGGTACACAATAGGCTATCTTGTTTTTTATTACTGTTATTAACTGTTAAATTTAGAGGGATTTGAGATTAATTCTTACCACTATATGCTTACTTGCTCACTTGTGAATTGTTGAATTTTTATTGCATTTTCAAATAATTCCTTAATATTTATAGACATGCCTTGTGGTAACACCTGGTTATTAAGTTAATCTTTTCAACTTCAATCAAGTGCTCTTTTTACCAATTATAAAAGTAACTGAACATGTCCACTCCTTAAGGAGCAAGGGTCGACTTATACCACAACCTATTAACACAGGCTTACACCTCTAGTTTTATACCAGCTCCTCCTAAAATACCAAATTGAAGGACTCAAGACTAAATGTTCATGCCAATCTTGAAGGAAAAGCAAAATTACTTTGAATGTAGGATAAACCCCTTTAATTTTGCAGATGAACACCAGAGATAAGGATATAGCAAATGTCTAATTTAGCAAGACTTTTTTTTGACATTGAAGAAAAATTGACCCTTTCTTGCACATAAAAACCAGGGCACTAAGGCAACCTTCCTTGAAAGAAGTTTAAAATAAACATATTTTATTTTAAATAAATCCTCCAGCATGAAATGGAAAGAGTTCACATTATTTGCTTGGAAGAAGGCTGAGTATACAATCTACTTGTCAAATGCATCTGCGTAGCTCAGCAACAGTTCCTTATTGGAAAGGATATTTCCCCATTGGTGGCTGAAAGGACGTTTTTGTCTCAAAATTCACTCTTCCCTTTGGCTTGCTTCTCCCTTGACTCTACCCAGGCTTTTTTAGTAGTGCCTGCATTTCATTTTCTCCTAAACACTCATCTGCCCCTCACTTGAATTTGTGTCATTATCAAGGAAAGATTTTTCCTTCTCTTCGCTTTCTTTCTCCACCTGAGTCAGTTGATCTGATGTCTGTTCCTGCTTCTTTTTTGTATAATACAAGAACTGTCCTGGGCTTGCTCTGTCTTAAAGTAGCTTCTACATAGATGGGGTTCAAGAGGTTGACAGTCCTACTGATGTGGTTTAGGGGTTCAGGGGTTCTGGAACTCCCAATATCACAACACGCAGGTCCTGCCCAAAAGAATTCAACCCAAGCCATGTTTCAGCCAAAGACAAGGTTTATTAGAACATTGGTTATATTGGGCAGACTCTTAAGCAGTCTGATCATTAGTAAACTATTAGCTAGATCATAAGAATCTGACTAGTGGCTAGATTTTAAGAATCCTAGCAGGGGCTAGATTATAAGAATCTAAGCAATGGCTAGATTTTAGGAATCTGAGCACCTTAATGGAAACAAGGTGGGCCTTATACACAGAAAGACTGTGGGAGGGACCTAGGAGTGGCCAGTAAACTGGAGTGAACAGAACTCCTGGGACCTGGACCACACGGCCAAGGGAGAAAGGAACCTAGCTAGGATTAAGGGTGAGAAATGGCAAGGGGGGGGGGGTTGGCCATACACAGGGAGATAAAACAAAGGAAGGCCAGGCTAGATTAACAGAATTGGGAGATAGGGTGTAGCCACAAGGAAAGGCCAGTTGATGGGATTATAGCCTCAGGAGACGATCAGAGATTTGGCCATGTGGGAAAGTCCAGGGTTTTTCCTCTCTGGGGCCCAGATCCCAACCCCATCAATAGAGTAATTTTTCCCATTAAGATTATTTTTAGGAACTTCAAAACACCTCTCTGTGAACTGCCTCTCTGTGAGTTTCAGGGGTGACTGGCTGAACCCCACTTCAGCTGATGCAGATCTCACGTAATTATTTGACTGATAGCGTCCATAAGTGTGTACCCACCGAAATGAGGGCAACCACAGCAGCAGCAGCTTCTCCTTTCTCCCGTCCCTTCTGCTCCGTCTCGCACTTGATTTCTGTCAACGTGGCCTTTTCTGCCCTGAAGACATCCCGGACTCGGACTCTTCCTGGTGGCCTTTCCCAGGAACTCCATCACTCCTCCAGATCTCTCCGAGGCTCCTCCCAGCGGCCGCCATGATTTGTCGCCACCGCCAGAGGTAACCGAACTTCGATCACACAGAGGGGAAGCCCGGAATCCCACACTGGAAGGACTGGGCTGGGAAAGCTGCTCCGCACACCCCCTGGCCACCGACTTGACTATGGCCTGCAGCACGCCTGCGTACTGATCAGACATTCACAGGGCCGTCTTCTATGACGCCTGAGGGAGGAATGGCCGGGGCGACTTGGCCAGCCTCCTCATTGGCCCTCCCTTCCTCTAGTGGGGGGTGCCTCCTGATTGTTCGGGAGCCAGCCACTTGGAGCCTCTGCCACCCCTCCCCTAGGCCCTGGCTGTTCTGTCCATCAGGCAATACCTCCCAGCTGTAACTGCCTTATTCCAGTAAGTTATCTGAAAGTAAACATTATCTGTAAAGTTATCTGAAAGTAAGGTTATCTGAAACATTAAAATTATTTTCTAGCGAAAGACAACTGTTTCACCACTATTTAGTACATATATTTTGTACTGTGGGAAAATAATATAGCATGTATATGCTCCATATTTAAATTTTAATCTCTTTATAAACATAGCTTGTGAAGGCAAAAATGCTTTTCTTAAATCATTTATTTGTTAAAGGCTTTCACTTTAATTGAACCCTATATAAGGGTTTAGAAGCACCTTCCATGCTTTTTCATAAAGATGTGGAATGTGTCCATCCACCAGAAGGAGGAAAGGATGAGTTTATTGTGCACTATGGAAACAGGAGAGAAGGCTCAAGAATAGTTTGTAAGTTGGATAGAATGGGGGGGGGTGGGGGGGGTGTAGCTTCCTATATCTCACTGAAAATGTTTGAGTTAAGTATATTTAAATATACCGACTAAAAAAACTAAGAAATTTAAAAGGTTGGTTAATTAAATTCTGGACGTATTACAGCAACCAAAAGGCATGTTGAAATAAAACAGCACACTTTAATTTCGAAAGGCTAAAATATATATACACACATATGTATGTGTGTATGTATACACACATACATATGTGTATACGTGCATATATATATTATGCATAATACACACATATATACATATGCATAGTTGATATTTCAATAACCATATTTTAAATAGAATGAAAATGCCTTTAAATCAGACTAAATTTTGCATGTTTAATGTAAATCTAGATGGTATATTGTATTTTATTACTAAAAATGTTGAAAAAATTTAATGTAATTAATCTACAACATTCTGATGGTTTGTGCTTTATTTTCTGCTTCCTTCTGTTTCCCCTATTAATTAAACTGCTTTTAATGGCTATTTAAGAAAAAAAAATCCATGTCAGAGCATTTACTTTATTAAGCAAAATACTATTTGAACAGCATAAACCTTGAAATGTACCTAACACACACCTAATTGCTGTATTGCTCTTAAAGTTGTTCATTAGGAAAAATAATAATAATGCAATCACAATCAACAACTAATTATACTAAAGAAAAATAATAGTAAATATGACAAGTGCCTGGGTTCATTCATTGATATGCTGAGGGACAACAAATCTATGTTTTGGAGTTAATTTCAACAGGGATAGAAAGAAGCATAGTGTGTGAATATGAAGGCTTATTATATAGATTTAAAGAAATTATTTCTCCTTAGCATCCACAAAATTTATTATTATTCCCAATGTCACACACAGTCATTTCGGGATACCCTTGACTCCTTTCACCCTATTTCACCTCGCCCAATGAACCTTCTTATGTAGCAAAGAAAAACAGTTAAGAAAAAAATATAATAAATACGTCTGGGAGTGTATAAAAAGAAAAGCTGCTCTCCTAGCTTCCCCATATGCACATGTACATTGCCTGCACAATACGTTCATCTGAATTCCTGATATTTTCATTCAAACTGAGTCATTGGTGAAAATGAGATCTATAAGAGGCATCTTTTCCACAAACAAATATTCCAGGAGTCTGGTCAAAGTAATTATAGTCTATTAAATTTTTAAAGTCTTTGGTTTTCTTTTCCCCTAGCCTTCACCCTAACCCTCAACACTTGGCCCCAGGAGTTAAGAATGAGTATCTTGAATTGTAATCGAATACAAGTTATACAAAATGAGCATATGATACAGCCTTGCAACAAAAGCATTCTGAATGATAGATGGTTGAAGGTACAGTTCCAGGACTCAATTCTGTCCTGTCACCAACCAAATCCTGCCTTTGAATATCAGGCAGGACCAGGGATTTGTCATCTCCCCTTCAAAAAGATGTGCAACTCTCTTCCATTAAGTGTTCTGCCCTGACACATCTTTGCTCACAAAATGATAATTAAATCAGCAATGCAGTTGCCACTGTGAATGATGTGAAAATATACTGTCTTGTGACTTCACACAAAACCCCTGTGATTCAAAACTCTGAAAAGGCTGCCCATTCAGAAGTTCCTTCCTTGGTTCATGCTTCCCACCCCCTTACAAGTCTTATCATTTCGGTGTTCTGTCCAAGTCTCCTTCAACTTCCATTATTCCCCCTGTAAATCTCCATTTGATTGTTGTACATTAAAAATGAAACAAAATAAAAAATAAATAAACTGGTCTTCTCATTAGACCTCTTATTCTTGTGTTTTTTCTAGTTCTTTGAAATCATGGAAACTTGACTTCTCCCCTAAAAGAGTGGACCTCTGGTCACCTGATCCACTATTAAGTATACTTCCTTCATAGCAGCACTTTACACAATGAGCCAGGAGCATAAGTAAGCAAGTTTCTTGGTCCTCACTATAGCTTTAAGATCCTTTGTCTCATACTCTCATTTACTAACCTCACCTCCTTTGAGCTACACTCTATACAGATAGGTCATCTTACTCAGATATTGGTATAAGGTCCTAAAGTTCACCAAACCATGTCTATCCTTTCTAAAAGGGCTCAGGTCCTGGCTCTCAGTCTTCTTGATATATGCAGGGGTAGGAACCTGGGGCCTCCAGGCCACATTTGGCCCTCTAGGTCCTTGGGTACAGCCTTTTGATTGAGTCTAAGTTTTACAGAACAAATCCATTTATTAAGGGGATTTGTTCTGTGAAGTTTAGATTCAGTCAAAGGGCCTCATTTGAGGACCTAGAGTACCACATGTGGCCTGGAAGCCGCATGCTTCCCACCCCTAAAGAGTATTTGACAATGTTAACTATTTCCCCCAAGATGTTGTTTTCTCTGTTGGTTTCATTATGCTCTTTTCTTTTAATTAATTTTGTTTTCCTTTTCTATCTTGCCATTTTTCTGTATCTACTTTATAAGGTCACCAACTCTCTGAATGGAGATATTCCAATATTTTGGCTTTTTCTCATTTACAGTCTTTCCTTCTCTATGATCTCATCTACTCCCCTGTGTTCAACAGTTATTTCTATGCTATTCATTCTAGCAAAGACATTAGCATGCTTATAGTATCTAAGTTTGCCCATCAAAATCATTCCCTGTTCTTCATTTTAACTCAATCTATAGAAACAACTAGTTGCCAAATCTTGTGGATTCTAGCATGACGCTAAATCTCATATCTTTTTTTCCCCCTTTCTCTTCCAATCTCTATGACCCAAGTTTAGGCCCTCGTCACCTCTTGCCTTGTCTGGTCTATAAAAATAGCCACCTAATTGGTCTTCTTGTCTTTGGTTTCTTCCCTCTCTTATCAATCCTGCATATATCTACCAAAACACAATATGACTATGGTATTTTTTAAATTTAAACTGAGATTTTCTTTATTATTTCTAATAACAAGAATAACATTCCTTTTCTTGAGTGTATGAATTATTGTATTCCTTGGTGAATGGACATAAGCAATTCTCTCATCAAAATACTCTCTCCTGAGAGTAATCACTACACATTTTCTCTTCCCTTCAATAGAATTTAAAAGAAAAAAAAGCAGAAATAGCGTTTTAAGTAAATCTTATATAAAATAATATACAGAGTTCAGTGACATAGCTAATCCTAGTGTATTTCTTATTGGGCAATGAAACTGGGATGATAGGAATCATTCAGTGATTCCAGCATTTTAGTCCTTTCAAATGAGAAGGGATCATGAAGCTGATTCTTTAAGCTGATTCAGAAACCTGTTTTGAAATTTACCTGCATATTTCAGGTCACATTTATTTACATTAATAAAAATATATTGTATTTCCATGGTGCTTTATAATTTTCAAATGGCATTCAAAAACATTATTTCATGTTAATTGCATTACAACTAAAGGAATCTTCTCTGTTTCAGGATGATGAAAATGAAGTCCAAGGACAGTTAAGGACACATAGCCATTTGTGACATAGTGGAAAAAGCACTGGACTAGTAATCAGAAACTGGATGGTTTAGATTATAGTTTTATTATTAATTCTTATTATTTCTTGTGCAAATCCCTTAGACTACAGACACCTCCATTTCCTCATTTCTAAAATGAAATTTACTGGACTAGGCAATCTCCACTTCCAGTTTACATATTCTAAAAAAAACACTATTTTTTCTATACATATAAAATGGCAAAAATAGGATTAACAACTACGTTTTCTTATAGTACATAATATCAATCAGTTTCTAAGTGCACATTTGATTATATTTACAATATTGCTATTACTGTGAAGATTGTTCTGCTGGTTCTGCTCACTCCAATTTGCACCAGTTCATATCTCTTTTTTCTTAATGAACTCTTCCCCTAGCCACAGATCTGATAGGTAGTTTCTTTGGTGATCTTTTATTTTGTTAATTCTATTATTTTTATATCTAAATCATATACCTATTTTGAGCTTATTTTGGTATGTATATGGTGTGTACATCGTGGTACATAAATAGGTCTATGCCTAGTTTCTGCCAGACTATTTTCTAGTTTTCCAAGCAATTTTAACCAGATGATGAGTTCTTGCCCTAATAATTGGGATGTGATTAATGAGATTGTTACTTCTTTATATTATGTATCTTTTCTATTCCACTGATCAGACACTCTGTTTCTTTGCCAGTAGCAAATTGTTACAATGATTACCTCTTTGTAATATAGTATGAAGTAATGATTGAGCCTCTTCAACACTTTTAATTGTTTCCCTCCATTTATATTTTTAATGTTTTTATAGCTCTTTAAAGTAATTTTTGGTAATTTTATCAGCATTAAAATGAATAGGCAAATTTATTTAGGTAATATGTCATTTTTAATTATATTGGTTCAACCTATCCATGAACAACTAATATTTCTCTAATTATTTACATCAGCTTTTATTTTTGTAAAAGGTGTTTAGCAATGCTGATGATTTTGTGAATTTTATGTTATATCTTTATATCTTGCAATTTCACTAAAGTTGGTTTTTTAGTTGACTCTCTTGAGTTTCTAAGTATGTCGTTATATCATCTGCAAAAGTGATAGTTTTGTTTCCTTGATGCCTTTGATTATTCCTTCAGTTTATTTTTCTTGTTTTATTGTTATAACTAGCATTTCTAGTACAATATTGAGCAAAAATGGTGATGATGGACAACCTTGCTTCATCCATCATTTTATTGGAAAGGCTTCTGCTTTATCCCCATTATAGATAGTGCTTGCTCTTGACTTTATATAGATAGTACTTATTATTTTAAGACAACCCCCAATTATTTCTATGCTTTATAGTATTTTTAATAGGTATGAATGTTGCATTTTGTCAAAAGATTTTTCACCACCAATTTATATAATAATGTGATTTTGTTTTTGGTTACTGATATGATCAATTATGCTTATAGCTTTACTAATATCAAACAAGCTTTATATTCCTGGTAAAAATCTGTTCTGATCATAGTGTATGATGTTTGTGATGTATTGTTGTAATCTCCTTTCTAGTATATTATTTACATTTTGCATCAAAATTCATTAGAAATTGTCTATAGATTTTTTCTCTCTGAATTTTCTCTCCCTTACATAGATATGAAAACCATATTTGTGCCATAAAAGGAATTTAGTCAGACTCTTTCTTTACCTATTTTTTAAAATATTGCCTAAAGTGTTGGAATTAATTGTTCTTTTCATGTTTGATAGAATTTAAAATTTTCTAGTCCTTTTTCTTCTTGGGCACATTTAGGGCTTGTTCAATTTCTTTTTCTAAGATGGAGTTCTTTAAGTATTCTATTTCTTGTTCTCTTAATTTGGGTAATTTATGGTTTTGTAAGTATTCATGCATTTCATTTAGATTGTCAGTTTTATTTGCATACATTTGGGTAAAATAGCTCCTATTAATTGCATCACTTTGATCTTCATTGGCTACACATTCATTCTTTTGATTTTTGATGCTGGTAATTTTTTTTTTATAAAATGAACCAATAATTTGTATATTTTATTGTTTTTATTCAGTAAAACCAGACCTTAGTTTTATTTATTAATATTTTTTAAAAACTTTCAATTTTATTAATATCTCCTTTGATGTTCAGGATTTCTATTTTGGCATTTAATTCAGGATTTTTAATTTGTTCTTTTTCTAGTTTTTTGTTTTTTTTTTAATTTGCATGTCTAGTTCACTGATCTGTTTCTTCTTTCTTTTATTGATGTGTTCATTGAGAGATATAGTTTGCTCCTAAGTGCTATTTTGGCTGCATCCCACAAATTTTGGTATGCTATCTAATTTTTGCAGTGTCTTTCATGAGATTGTTATTTTTTTCTGATTTGTTCTTTGACCCACCAATTTTTTTAAGGATATTACTTAGTTTTGAATTACTTTTTTACTCTATATCTCAAAGGTCCTTTATTTAGTGCAATTTTATTGTATTGTGGTTTGAAAATGTGTATTTAATATGTCTGCTTTTCTGCATCTTTGTGAGGTTTTATAACTTAATATAGGGTCATTGTTTGTGAAGATGCTACGAACAGCTGAGAAAAGATATACTTTTTTCCATACCCATTTAGTATTCTCCAGAGGTCTATCATATCCTACTTTTATATTCATCTCTTTAACTTCTTTCTCATTTATCTTATGGTTAGATTTATCTATGCCTGAGAAGGGGGTAAATCATGTCCCCCACTAATACAGATTTATTATTTCTTCTTGTAATTCATTTAAATTTTCCTTAAAGAATTGGGATACTTTTCGGTTGGGAAATTGCTGAACAAGTTGTGGTATGTGATTGTGATGGGATGTTATTGTAGTTCAAGAAATAATGAGGGTGATGGTTTCAGAAAAACCAAGGAAGACGTGATTCGTTGCAAAGTGAAGTGAGAAGAATCAGGAGATCATTGTAATGATGATCAACTGACAGATTTAGCTACTCTGATTAAAGTAATGATCCAAGGCAATTTCTAAAGATTCAGGGTGAAATTGCTATCCACCTCTAGAAAGAGAATTGATGAATCCTGAGTGCAAACTGAAATATATTTTTTTTCACTTTCTTTACATGTCTAGCTTTTTTGTGATGTGTTTAATATGGAAATATATCTCTGGATGACTTCACATTTATAAATGATGTCATATTTCTGAATTCTCAGTGGCTTGAGGAGGGGCAGGAGGGAAAGGGACAATAGAATTCAAAATCAAAAATAAATAAGTAGTAATTTTAAAAATTGGGATGCTTTACCAGTTGTTGCATATATATTCAGTATTGACATAAATTCATTGTGGTTTTTTTGGATAATTTATATGTTGTTAGTTTTCAACATTCACTTCCATAAGATTTTGAGTTTTTAAATTTTCTCCTCTTCCCACTTCTCCTCTCCTCCCCCACACCGAGATGGTGTACAATCTGATATAGGCTCTACATGTACATTCATGTTAAGC